ACTTTGCATTGATCGGCTTGATAGACGACTGTTCAAGGTGATAATCAGCACAACGTGTAATCCCCCCCCCGCATAAGAAAGGTCCATTATTGAATATAACGTAAGTAAATTATATTTAATAATCTTCATCCGGTGTTTTTCTGTGTTGAGAAGTCAAACGGCATGATATAATCGCGAGTATACGATCCTACAATGAATTCGTTCACTCTTTTGCAACAGAAAAGAAACTTTGACTGTACGTTTTGCTTCTCCATACAACCTCATTAGAATACTTCTTTAGTGAGTGCCACACAATAAACTATTCGTTGATCTCAGATCCACAAAGTAAAATGATTAAATGCTAGTCACAAATGGATTGTCTGCTTAACTACTTCGATATGCTGTTAATAAATCTTTGCTCTCAAAAACATACCCTGATTGCATAAATAAATTGCTACAAGAGATTACTAATTAATTACCAGTACTGCGTACTGTTACCGATATTACCATACGTTTATGGTTGTTTCATGTTTTCCACTAAGCAGCTGTAATAGCGTCGATGAAAAACGGGCCAAAGTTCGCCAAACTATGGTTAGGTGATCACTCAGATATGAGGTGTATCCCAGAAACACGAATACCAGAAAAATTTATTTATAAACAGCTATACGTCTAATGAATGGCCATATACTTATAGCTTTTGATATCTTGGTGTCATGCATCAAGTTTTGAAGATGACATTGCGAACAAGCAATATCGATCGTTCTGAAAGACCAGATGTTACCAAAGCGTTGAGAGCTGTATTTTCCTTAGCCATGAAGATCTAACCTCGAGTGAGTAAACCTATAGTAAACAGTCAAAAATTGGCAAACAGACAGATCGTAATATCTGCGCAACAGATTCGTCTAGAAGAAAGATATCCATGTCAAATTAGGGCACAAGTGCTAAGCATGATCACATTTAGCATTAAACGGAGAAAAACGTATGGTCCAAAATTTTGCGTCGTACCATATGCCCTCTGAAGAGCGAATGATCGCTCAGAGGTTAAATCGAAAGAAGATCCCTACATCCCTGAACGAAATGAATAGTACGCACTCAAGTTAAAGTACATTCTTTTATGCTACAATGTAAAAATCAAAAGATGAAACATTTCTAATAAATAACCAGTATATCCAGATACTAACCACTGAGTTAATAGACAAGCAAATCTCAATTAACATAATTATAACTTCATCTCCAAATGATTAGTTGTAAACTTCTCTTATCCATCGAGAATTCTCATTACTCTGAAAAGGAAGGATTTTCGAGGACTTTCGAAAATTTGTCGTATCACCTGAACGATCGTGAAGGCATAATAACCTTATTACTCTTTTTCGCCATTCGCCTCAATGGGAGACGACTTTGGTCAGTTTCACTCATCCTTTTCTAACCATGGATCGAAAACAAGTGACTGGAACTAGATCTGCATCAACCCCCCCCCGCGGTTGGAACGATGAAATTGTGGGGTCGCATATTCAACTGAATATCGGATGAGCTTGTGACCATCCTAGTAAAGAATTTGACTAAGGTAAATGTTGAACTACGAATTTGGATCCTTTACATCAGTGCTTAACAGCATGCCTCTCGAACAATCCAAACATAGGTGTGTTGCAAATGTCGGACTGTGGATAACATGAAGCCGGTTATCCATGTACTATCGCTCTCCTCCCTCGAAATTTACTTTCAGAAACCAAATATCTAAAATAATCAAAAATAACGATTAAGAGGAATAGAGGTCTGAACAAAAATATCACTGAATGCCTTAAAATGAATGATGGTCGTGATTCCGAAGTTAAGTCTCGTTTTGTCACTGAAAAAAACTTCATCACTTTGACCAAGGTACCTGTTACATCAGAATACTGCGAAGAAACAGAAATTGACTACAGTTGCCCAGATCATTTCATTGTCGTTTCGTCCGACTATCCCTCGAATTTTAACGAGGAACGGTTGCCATTCGATTTCGTTCTGCCATAACACCTATACATGATTTCCTTGTAATTCAGTCCAGGCATAGGAAACAGAACCTGCGCTTACATTAAAATGGAAGCTTGTAGCCGTTTGGATATCGGTATTCCCTACGCTTCTATCATGGATACCATAGTGGTACTCTTTTCATGAAACCTATAGCGCGGTGCTACTCTCCATTATTATGCCATTAGATGGGAATGTGTCGCTTTAATGGCAATGACTACTGTTATGCCAGAATGTAGGTCTTGACTCTGGCGCAACTCACTGAAGTTCCCTAAATGCCGATCGTCACTCAAGGAGAGACTTTAGTAATCCACTTCCATGAAGTAAGTCAAGTGAAGGGAAGGGTCACAGAATCAGGCCTCTGGTGTCCCCTGACCCAAGGAGGAAGAGTTATGTTAGAGACGAAAATGAATCAGATGGACGTAAAACTCGTTTCGCATTGGTGAACTCTTTGCCTGATTGATGCCGTGGAGCTCGCTGCCAGTGCGTTGATTTTCTGTTGTTTACAGTTATATTGTAGCTTGAAGCCTCTTGTTTTCTTTCCTGCAACATGGTACTCATTTGTCGATCTCTGAACCCGAACTGGACTTGAATGTAAGACCTCTCATGCTACACCCTGAAGACTGAAAACGCCCGTCATCATAAAGGTTAAATAAAGGGTCGGTCACTGATGATTAACTTTTACAGACGAATTTGTGCGATAGGAGAAGACAGGAATTTCAGAAACTCATTTCTGGTCAGGCAACGAGGAGAGTCAGTGATCAGTGGTCGGTTAACAAGTCGGCGATCGTTAGAAAATCTGAACTGTTGCCAACGTGAAAGGAGCGGAAACCGCGGAAACCCGCCGATGCACTGAAACGCTCTCAGACCGCCCAAGCGAGA